TTCCAAATTCGGTTCTGGGAGGTCTGCAATATACTCGGTAATATGTAAAGTAATCTGACATGAATAAAAAATAAGATTACGACATATTGGATTTCAATTATATGAATACGAACTTGATCAAAGGAGAAACCGTTATGTTACTGTTTATGAAAGAGGCTAGTGTGAACAGTAGAATAGGGGGTATTTCTGATTTTCTGAGTAATGGTATATCTGAATAGTAATTACAAGTAGTCAGTTACACAAAATGCCGACTACAATTGAAAATTAAATTGAAACATAATCCATAGATAAATAGTTGGCTACAAATTCAAAAACGAATGTTCATAATAGTAGTTAACTGCAAAACATGTAAAAGGTTCATAATTATAATGGAAAACATAGACATCTACCCATAGGTAGTCTACTAAAACAAGAGACAACAACTAAATTTGAAAGAACTGGTTTAACATGCTTTTTCCAGATAACAACCAAAAGAAATAGGATCGACCGCAGATTCTTTTCCTAGCCTTACAAAGACATCAAGCACTAGATCCCGAATCTGGAGAAGCACATTATTTGCCGAGACGTTGAGATGTTCAGAAGTGGATGTGTCTTTTGTTATTGGAAGGTTGTCCATTCTGATAAATAAATATAAAGTAGACAACTATTAGTAGAAGGTTGTTCATTCTGATAAATAAATAGAAAGTAGACAACTATTAGTAGACAGTAAATAACATAGGATTTGCTTCTTGGTTTCGCTATTGTAGTTGATTAGCAATGTTAACATAAAATGGACGGATATGACAGTTTGCATCACAAATCTGGGGAAGCACATTATTTGCAAACGGTGTGGGTTCGGATTGTCGAAAAGTACATATATCCCTTGAAATGAACGAAAAGTCAAATAGTTAGCTACTGTAAACTGACTACCAATGTGACGTAAATAACAAACGCACATATATGAGTAGATGACTATTCCTGTCTAGTAGTTATGTATACTAACTGAATATGTAGCTTTATATTGAATCGATTATAGACGTTGCGAGTAGACGATTACTAGCGATGATGTATATAGTTAACTACCGAAAGAAAAATTTAAAAATCCTAGATCTATAAAATCCTAGATCTATAAAAATCCTAGATCTATAAAATCAAGAAACCCAGATATGGATAACAGCGAAAATAGCCACTGTACTGAATAAATACAGAGAACAATTTACAAAAATAGTAGAAAGTAAAAATCAGCAGAACAGAACCAGGTATCAAAGATATACGTTTCATACCTCACCACTGAAGAAAGAATCGGCTGTGTTACAGATTTTTTACCATGGTTTGAAGCTGATGAAACAGCGATAATAAAAGATGGTAGAGCCTCGCCGTAGAGAAAGAGAGGAGCAAGAAGAAAGACGAACGAGTAGTCACCGTAGAAAAAGAAAGGAGAGAATTTTTTGGATGTGCGAGAAATTATTTGAAATAAAAATAAAAAAGTGAAAAACGCCTCTTTTGAATCTTTGACAAAGAGGATATAAAAAGAGGATATAAAGAGAGGATTTGGAAATGAAGAATGAAATTTCAAATTTTAAAATCCTGAATATGAAAACAAGACGTAAATTATTATTTTTAAAAAGAAATCAATGAAACAAAAAGATAAATTGTGTCAGACCAAAAAAGTTTGTGTTGCTATGATACAAGTTTTATGTCATAAGGTTGGGAAGCTGAGGGTGTGTAGTGTTTTTGCACAAAAATAAAAAAAGTTACTTTTCATTTCTGCAAATTGTTCTCTGCAGACTATTATTCATTACAATTTCCCTTAAATTTAAATATTTTTCATATATTTAATAGTTTCTTATCTATATATAATACATATAATTTTATCGAATACACATTATTAATTAAAATTGTAGAATATTTGACGGAATTTCTTTTTTTTTTTTCAAAAATTTCCGGTGTTGTTTTGTCAACTTGCATCTAAAACGACATCCACTCTCTAAAGCATATAAACGAGAAAAAAAATTTAACCACAAAAACTCAATGTCTTTGAAAACTTAAAACGTATTATTGTATGTTTTTATGAAATTATAACCGTTTGTTTTGTAAGAGAACTTTCTGAATTTGTATGCAGCATGGACTATTTATCACACAAATGCAAATGCACCATTTTTATAATAATTTATATAAATGGAATGTAACTCAGGGAGTCAGGGATATCATTGTATCAACATAATTATACTAATAATGTGAGATGGATTTTAAAAAATAAGAAATTTATCGAATTACAGTTTTAAACATTATAAAGTTTTTCGGTTCGGACCAATTGGTCGTTTCTCTTGAAGAACGGGAGAGTTGAGATTTAAAAAAAGATTCATTTTATGTCGATGTATACAGTCGAAAATGAATAATTTGAAAACACCTACAAATTTTCAGTTCCGTATCCTGAAAAGCAAATGCGATTCACAACGAAAATATGGAGACATCATTCTCTGGAAAATCTCAAACCCAAACATCGTATGTACGAAGTTGTTTCTGCTTCATCTTCCTCGTCATCTCGTTTCTACAGTGCACACAACCTGTTCGACAAAAGTCCTGGCCGAGATCGAGAAAGTTACACGAGCTTGCTCTTCGGGTTTTCTCGTGAAGGACGCACACAAGAAGCAACGAGACTCTTCTTAAACATTCACCGGTGGGGAATGAAGATGGAATGCTCAATGTTTTCCTCTGTTCTAAAGGTCTCTGCTACTTTGTGTGATGAGCTTCTAGGTAGACAATTGCATTGCCAGTGTGTAAAGTTTGGGTTTTTAGACGACGTGAGTGTGGGAACATCGCTTGTTGATGCGTACATGAAAGGTAGTAACTTTAAGGACGGGAGGAACGTTTTCGATGAAATGAAGGAGAAGAATGTTGTTACTTGGACTACATTGATAAGCGGGTATGCGCGTAATTCGTCGAATGAGGAAGTTTTGACGTTGTTCATAAGAATGCAGGAAGAAGGAACTCAGCCAAATTCGTTTACTTTTGCAGCTGCTCTTGGAGTTTTGGCTGAAGAAGGAGCTGATGGCAGGGGAGCTCAGGCACACACAGTTGTTGTAAAGAACGGTTTGGATAAAACTATTCCGGTGTCTAATGCTCTGATCAATCTGTATCTCAAGTGTGGGAACGTAAGGAAAGCTAGGATTTTGTTTGATAGAACAGAGGTAAAGAGTGTGGTGACTTGGAATAGTATGATCTCTGGATATGCAGCGAACGGGCTCGATTTAGAAGCGTTGGGAATGTTTCACTCTATGAGGCTTAATCACGTGCGGTTATCTGAATCGAGCTTTGCATCCGTTATCAAGCTCTGTGCTAACCTCAAAGAGCTGAAGTTCACTGAGCAGCTCCATTCCAGTGTTGTGAAATATGGGTTCTCGTTTGATCAAAACATAAAGACGGCTCTAATGGTATCTTATAATAAATGTACAGCGATGCGTGATGCTCTTAAGCTGTTTGAAGAGACTGGATTCCTCGGGAATGTTGTGTCGTGGACAGCGATGATTAGTGGTTTCTTGCAGAATGATGGGAAAGAGGAAGCAGTGGATTTGTTCCGGGAAATGAGGAGGAAAGGTGTTAGACCAAACGAGTTCACTTATTCAGCTATTCTCACAGCTCTTCCTGTGATTTCTCCATCAGAGGTCCATGCACAGGTGGTAAAGACTAACTACGAGAGATCTTCAACAGTTGGAACCGCTCTTCTTGATGCTTATGTGAAATTAGGTAAAGTAGATGAGGCTGCGAAAGTTTTTAGCAGTGTTGATGATAAAGACATAGTGGCTTGGTCAGCAATGCTTGCAGGATATGCTCAGATTGGAGAGACAGAGGCAGCTATAAAGATGTTTAGTGAGATCACAAAGGGAGGGATAAAACCAAACGAGTTCACATTCTCTAGCGTCCTTAACGTGTGTGCTGCTCCTACCGCGTCTACGGGTCAGGGAAAGCAATTCCACGGGTTTGCGATGAAATCAAGACTCGATGACTCTCTCTGTGTTAGTAGCGCTCTTCTAACCATGTATGCAAAGAAAGGCAACATTGAGAGCGCGGAAGAAATCTTTAATAGGCAGAAAGAAAGAGATCTAGTGTCATGGAACTCAATGATCTCTGGGTATGCACAACACGGGGAAGCTATGAAGGCTCTCGCTGTTTTCAAGGAGATGAAGAGGCGAAAGGTGAGAATGGATAGTGTAACATTCATTGGAGTATTCACTGCCTGTACACATGCGGGGTTAGTAGAAGAAGGCGAAAAGTATTTCGATATAATGGTGAGAGAATGCAAGATTGCACCTACAAAAGAGCATAACAGTTGTATGGTCGATTTATACAGCCGAGCAGGGCTACTTGAAAAGGCTATGAAGGTCATAGGCAACATGTCATACCCTGCTGGTTCCACCATTTGGAGAACAATTCTAGCTGCTTGTCGTGTGCACAAGAAAACAGAGCTTGGGAGGTTAGCTGCAGAGAAGATCATTGAGATGAAACCAGAGGATTCAGCAGCATATGTGTTGTTGTCTAATATGTATGCAGAGTCAGGAGATTGGCAAAAGAGAGCTAAAGTAAGGAAGCTAATGGACGAGAGAAACGTGAAGAAAGAAGCTGGTTACAGTTGGATTGAGGTTAAGAACAAGACTTACGCGTTCTTGGCGGGTGATCGGTCTCATCCTCTCAAAGATCAGATCTATATGAAGCTAGAAGATTTGAGTACGAGGCTGAAGGATTTAGGGTATGAGCCGGATACAAGTTATGTGCTTCAGGACATTGATAATGAGCATAAAGAAGCTGTTCTTGCTCAGCATAGCGAGAGATTAGCTATTGCTTTTGGGTTGATCGCTACACCAAAGGGAAGTCCTCTTTTGATCATTAAGAACCTTAGGGTTTGTGGAGATTGTCATGTAGTTATCAAATTGATTGCAAAAATTGAAGGAAGAAATATTGTAGTTAGAGATACAAATCGGTTCCATCATTTCAGTAGTGATGGTGTTTGCTCGTGTGGGGACTTTTGGTAACATAAGGGAATAACATTGTTGGAGTATTCAAAACATTTTTTTTACAAATTTTCGAGAAATAAGGCAAATGCAATGTTTTGGGATCAAATCAAACATGGGTTTGAGATTTGTTTCCTTCTCAGTACACATACATAAGGAGAAAGAGAGGAGACTAATGATAGTGAGGATAGAATGACAAATCTGTCAACCTTCTTCTCCAAACTCCTGTGTGAATCTCTCATGGACATCAAGGTCAGATTTGCTCACTGTTGGCCTTTGTCTAGCAAGCACTTTCTCGAAATCGTTTCTCGTGATCGGTGGTGGAATAATCTGTAAAAATACACAAATCAGTCTTTAGTTTAACAGCAAACAACGAGAAACTCAGTATCATATGACCAAAAGAACTCTACAGAATGAAATTCACTTAATAGCAGTGCATTCTCATGCTAAAACGGTTATGAGTCTTTTATGGGAAGATCAAAAGGATTTATTATCTTTCATTATCCAGGAAGTTTGAAACGCAAAACCTAATCATAAATGTCTACCTTTTCGCCAAGGCCTTTGGCTGCTAGATCTTGCATTGTGGTTTGGATGGCTCCAGGTTGCCTAGGTCCACATGGCATCCATGTACCATCAGGAGACTTGAAGAAGAACATTGCATCTTGGGTTTTGCGCACAGGTTCGAACAAAACGTCTTTTACCTGCAAGAACCAGAGAGATTCTCAAGACAAAAGCTTATTTATCTAAAGATACTTCTGAGACAAACTGTGGACAACAATCACTAGGGCCAAGCCACGTACACAAACGGACACATCTGAACCAGAAAACCCTTCTGTCTTGAGCCCTAAATATTCAAAATCAGCTTCAGTTAAATTATGAGGCGTGTCTCCCAAATGGACCTACATAAAACACACATATCTTTAGTCAACGGATTATGTTCTCTTGAATGATTTTACTTGAGGAGCTTGAAGCAAATGAACATTTAATACTTTGAACATGTGCTGTCTAGCCTTGGCTTCTGGGAGAGGAATATAGATACGCTTATCAAAACGTCGTCTAATAGCCTGAAATCAACATTGTGTTAACAAAGCAGTACAGGCAACGAAAACATAGAAGCAATCAACTCTTATTATGACTTTTCACCTGATCAAGAGCATAAGGTGTATTGGTTGCTGCAAGAACAAGTACTTTATCATCACTGTGTCCAACACCCTAAAAGAAAAAGGGATAATAAGTAAAGCGAAGAAACGTTTCTGCTAGAATTGAATGACAAAAGTGTTCATTTCGGATAAGCTTTGTACCTGCATCTGCACAAGAAGCTCTGTTTTGATACGTCTTGAAGCTTCGCTCTCATTTCCCTCTCCACGTGTACCGCACAAAGAATCTATCTCATCAACGAAAATAATCGACGGAGAACTTTCACGGGCCATCTCAAAAAGGTTTGATACAAGCTTCTCACTTTCACCCATCCACTTCGAGACCAGGTCTGATGAAGACACGCTGATGGTTGGGACGTAAAAAGGAAACAACTATGCTTAAGCTATAACGTGTTTCCAAGTATAAAAACTGTAAACACAAGATGAAATAGAAAAACAACAAGACTTATAGTACATAGCAAGCCATATATCAGAACTCCAGCACACGATGTTAACCTAAAACGTTTTCATCATTGTGATCATGAATGTCTTGCAACCACCATTTAAACAAGAATGTGTGGCACCCTTACACCAAAAGATCTGCATGCTTGCCTAATCAAAACAACATTTGTTGGTTCTCCTATAGGACATGTAAATTATACCAGAGACTATATACTAGCTTTCCATATCTAGCTGCAGATGCTCGTGGATAACATGTAAGTATAGCAGAGACTACTAAACCTATAGCAAGAGAGATAAACACGAAAACTTGCAGGAAACGTTTTTGATAAGTGCCTGTGTTTCCTTAATAATACTCTCTGAATTCAAAGAACACATACAGAAAACAAGAGCAAACAAAACCAAAGAACTAAAAGCAACCATATGTATTTGGTTTATGGCAAGAAGCCAAAATGAAAAAGCTAAGACACTGCACAACATATATTACCTGAAAAACGTAGAGTCTGCTTCAGTAGCAACAGCCTTGGCCAAGTACGATTTTCCCGTTCCAGGCGGCCCATACAGCAGGAAAGCTCGCCATGGCCGCCTCTTTCCTAAGAAAATCAACAAGCGAGTTTAATCAAAGTCACTATCTTCACCACCACAATACATTAAAATTGCTTCCTTTCATCTTCAATGTAACGCCAGCTGATTCAAAATACTTACCAGTGAAGAACTGTGGAAACTTTACAGGCAAAATCACAGCTTCCTGCAAAGCTTGCTTGGCACTTTCAAGCCCAGCAACATCTGTCCACTTAATGTTAGGCTTCTCCCTCACGATAGCAGAGTTTAACCCAGCTCGAAGCTTTGATTGCTCCGGATCCTCTCCATCTTTACCACCTTCCCCTCCGTCTTTCGGCTTAGTCTTCGGCCTCGTTGCGACCGCTGCGTCGCCGTTAGATCCCGGACCCGATCCACCTTCATCGAGAACGGCACGGATCTCCTCCGCACGGCGGAGATACTCGGTGAATTTCTGGGTGATTGCTTCTCTGATCTTCGGATTCTTCTCGTACTTGAGATGGGTTTTGAAGTACTCAAGTGCGTTCATATACAAAGGGAAAGCTTTATTGTAATTCCCAGCATTGTCCTCTTGAACCGCTTGCTTCACGTACTCGATCGCTTGTTCCTTGAAATTGCTGTACATGACTTTTAGGGTTTACCAATTTTGCTTGATTCGAATTGTTGTACTTTCGAAAAATTGAAAATTGGGTATGATCAAGGATCGAAAGGCGCCTTGAAACCGTGATGAGAAAACTCGTAGATTAAATTAAGCAGAAGATCGGAGGCGGAGAGAGAGAGAGAGGAAGAGGAAGAAAAAGAAGAACGAATGAATGATATGGAAGCTATGAAGAAAAAGCCAGATTTGACGTTGGAGACGAAAAGGTCTAAAACAGCGGAGCGTTGATTTGTTGAACGATGAAACGTTGAGGCGTTTTGGAGCTTCTGAAGGATTCGCTCAACGTTTTGATGAATGACAAGGAAAATACTTGCCGTTTTAATCATATACATTTAATTAAGAAAGAAGAATATAAACGCCCTTTCTTTGGAGTAACGTGCTACCTCTTTGGCTGTCCAACCAAGCATAATTGTATAATTCCACTTTCTAAAAAAAAAAAACTAAAACCCATTATCCCACATTTAGAGACTAAACCCAAAATTGGTCCGAAAAAATATTTGTGGTTTAATACTGAATAAAATTTGGGTTTTTATAAAGTATTTTTTTATTATATAAAGTGAAATAATTTAAAATTTATAACTCATTAGATCATAACATTGTGTCAAATCAATCTATTTTTAAGATAATATTGCTCATGTTATTGCGACTGAGAGTTTGAATCTAGTAAAACAATGCCGTTTTTGGGATTGTCTTAGAGAGAAACAGCCTTACTATTGTTGTTCATTCCATGTTGATCGTGCAAATACTGTGTAGACACATGGCTTGATAACTCAAGATTTCATCTACAAAAATGTATGTTGTCGAAAGAGCTTGAGATTCCATTTAGCTTACCTATGTTGGATCTAAATGTCATAATTGTGATGGTTGTTTCACTTTGGGCTTTTACAATCATATTGTGCTCTTTTTTTTGTGTGTCAAGCAATGTTTTCAACAAAGATAGAGGAAAGTAACAAAAGCTAAGCATTGTTTTTTTTTTCCTACACTTCTCAAATTCCATCTAGAATTAATTAATTATTTAGAGAAAATGGAAGAAAAATAGTTGAGTTAACCATATGTCTGAAATAGTGAATCATCAGAAATATCATTGTAATCCACAAATATGTTGGCCGAAAATGGAACCTTATATAAAATAAAAACATAAAGTTATTGAAAAAATATCGTTAACATTATGAAAGCTAACAAGCTCTTTGATGCGAGTGTAAACGCGGGATTTGTTGTTTTCGTTTTACTAAGCTTCAGACTTTAAATTTATAACTCCTAAATGTCTACAAGTGCACAGATGTGCACTGTAGTACTTAAGGTATCGATCCACAGAGACTTAGTTATTTCAGTACGAATTCACTGCAACGCTTAAATCAGATTAGAACTAAAGAGGTTTTGGTTTTGGGTTTTTGGTTGTCACTAAATCTAAACTAGAAAGCTAAACAAGTAAAAGCAAATAAAAACAAAAGCAAGTGTAAGCAAGTAAAAATCGGCTATGAATGAAAGCAGGTAACAAGCGAATAAAAGCATAATGGAAATCTAAGGTTGTAAGCAATGAAAGACAAACGTTGGGCATCAATGGGAATTCGCAGGGGTTCATGGACTAAGCTATGTCGATTTTAAACAAGTGATAAAGGTAATCAACTACGTATGTTCTAGAACTTGAGGCACGGAAGTATGAATAGCCTACTTTCGCAGCACTAAACAACTATCTCTCGCAACCCTGATCAGTAGGTTTTCACTCGGATCCTGGAAGGGAGAAGATGCAATAGCAGAACAAGACTCATCAATATTCACAACTCAACTACAGGTAGGTTTCCACTCCTATAGAAGATTGCTCGTTTCACCCCAGTTCAGACAATCAATGAAAGCTTTCGCAACATATCATATCAGATTGGCTTCTAAGTGGCCAGCAAAGAATCACGCAGTAAGATTAAAGGCAAACGAAGAACATCTAGAAGATTAATAATCCTAAATCTACCGATTCATAAGCAAAGACACATGAAATTCCCTTTGAACAATCCCTTTAAACCCAACTGGGTAACTACTCAAACATATTGTAACAAAGCATCATAAACGAAATTGAAAGTGCAGGAAACTAAAGAAAAGAGGGAAGAAGAACGAAGAACAGAGTTGCAGGTGGAGGCGCGATGATGCTCTCCAGCGGCGGCTCCTTCTTCAGGATCGACGACGGCGGCCTCTAGGGTTCCACACGAACTCTCTCTCTCTCTCTCTCCCTCTAAGTTGACTAAGTTTCGGACCCCTCTTTAGAATGACCTAAAGAGGGTATTTATAGCTTCTGGAGTGGTCCTGGACACTTAGGGCTTCAAAAATGACGAAAAGAATTGATCTGGGCTTTAATTAAGTCGTCTGGAAAGTGAACGACCAAGTTCCGCGGTCGCGGTGGCTCTACCCGCAGGAAAATGGGTGTTGGCCGCGGTCCCGGCACATGCTCTCTTCCGGAACTGCATTTTCTGTCATTCTTGCATCGGGATTATCTGAAGATCTAACCGTTGGATTGTATCCAAACCAAGTGCATTAGAAAGCTGGTTGGATCCTTTATGTTGTCTCAAAGTTTGGGGGTGATCAGACGGTGAGAAGGTCTTCATCGCTTGTCATACTTTTGACGGTCTGTATTTATCAAAAATTGCTCATTTGTTCCAAATTACATATCTTTTGCCCAAGTTTCCTGTAAAGTCTTTTGAAACTCTAAAACATTGAAAACACTTTAAAAATCATTGAAAACAGAGTTAAAACACCTGCATAAGACACAATTATGATCCATAAAAGTGGTCAAAATACGGTGTTATCAACTCCCCCAGACTTACCTTTTTGTTTGTCCTCAAACAAAATTAAGTCAGGAAAGAAATTTTTGAAAATCGCAGGAACTAAAAAATATCTCAGTGACCGTCCTTCTAAACCATAACTTATCGTGAAACATCTATTTGGATCTAGTCTAGAAATTTCTCACCAAAATACAAGCAAACTAGTCCGTTAATCTGTCATGCGAAAATCTACACACTTAGATCTAACTTCCAGTCAACTAGCTCTCTACATTCATTAAGTATATTGTGAGATCTCATCAAAGACATTATTCAGGGTAGACGGCGTTTGGTATTAAGGGCTGTTTAAGTGGTGGAGCTTAAGTGTTAGGGTTACCTGAAGAATCTGGAGAATGCAAGACACTATGCAAAACCGCAAGAGAGAGAAGAACCTGTTGGTGATCACAGATTTTCAGTCACTTCTCATTTGCCAAATGTTGTTGCATAATCTTCCTCCCTTTTTGTAAACAGATGTTCCCCCAGACTTAGATATTTTCCGGGAATCATAAAGATAATCTCCAAAACTCCATATAATCAGATCAAGCTTGCCTCAAGTATAAAATTCAATCCTCCTAGACTCTCTAAGGTTTTAAATTTCCTCTCCCTTCATATTTTTCTTTTCTTTTTCGTTTTTTTTTGTTGTATATATAGAGGAAACAACCTTTTATAGAGAGAGAGTCTAAGGGACGAAATTGTACCAAGATTTTGAAGTTTTTCCAAGGCAAACTGAATTTTCTCCCTTTGTTGAATCATTCCAATGAAATCGCAGATCTTCGTCTTCAATGACTGAAAACCACGTTGATCCTCTTTCTCTCCGACGTTTTTGCACATATCTGCATATAGAACAATGAAAAACAAGAATGCATGTGGTTTGAAAGATTAGGTTTGGTGGGGAACTAGCTAAAGATGAACTAGTCATTCAGGATCAACAAAGAGTGGTAAAAGGATAAAGGAGTCCTGAATGTATGATTCGTTTCCCTGATCTAATGCTTCAATGAGAAAATTAAGTCAAAATTAAGTCCAGATAAAATGAGCTAGTATATCCTGTCAGAAACAATCTCCATGAATAGAAGTCCTCTGGTGGGATTTCGTAATGCAAGTATTCTAGCTACCGCCTAGTCTAGGCCTAAATCACAAAAGAGCAAAAAACGAGGAAATAGCGTAGAAGCACACTGGTCTAAATCATCATAGTAATGTTTATGTGTTCCAGGTTTGAAAACTTTTTGAAAAACATTTTGAAAACGATTTTTGAAAATTTTTTATGAAAAAATTTTTGAAAAATTTTATGTGTCCAAAAACAAACTCAAAACAAATAAAATTTCATTAGTAACGGATGAACAGCCTCTCCAGACTTATTTCACACTGTCCTCAGTGTGATAAATCTTGGAAAGAATGGTAAAGAAAATAGAAAAGTTGAAATGTTTAAGTGTACTTATCGTGCTGGAGAGTGCTGCTCGTCTTTTTTATTTGTTCTTCCTTATTGAAAACCTGAAATTAAATGAAACAGAAACAAAGCAATGGAAATAGAAAATGAAGGTCAAAGGGAAATAGATAAAATACCAAGTGGGTTGCCTCCCACTAAGCGCTTGTTTCAAGTCATTAGCTTGACATTGTTGCTCGATTAGACTTAACCGGGGTCGTGACACTCTTTGGTCTCATCATTGGCCGATGATGGATCAATCAAAAACATCACTTCTCTCTCGTCTTCTCTTTCTTCAGCCAGATATGGCTTTACACGCTGTCCATTCACTGTAAATGAGTTTCCGGTTCTGTCCCACATGACAATGGCTCCGTATGGTTTGACTTCCTTTATCGTGAAGGGTTTTGACCATCTTGAACGTAATTTTCCTGGAAAAAGCTTAAGACGAGAATTGAAAAGAAGTACCTTATCGTTAGGAGCAAAAGTTCTATGAATAATCTTCTTATCATGATATGCTTTAGTCTTCTCCTTGTAGATCTTCGAGTTTTCGTAAGCATTGTGTCGGATTTCTTCTAACTCGTGCAGTTGAAGTAGTCTTCTTTCTCCAGCTGTTTTCAAGTTCATGTTCATCTCCTTGATAGCCCATTGCGCCTTGTACTCGAGTTCTACTGGAAGGTGACATGATTTTCCGTAAACTAGGTTGAATGGTGTTTTTCCTAACGGTGTCTTGAATGCTGTTCGATATGCCCATAATGCATTGTCACGCTTGGTAGACCAATCCTTGCGATGAACTGCGGTTGTTTTATGCAAAATCGACTTGATTTCTCTGTTTGAGATTTCCACTTGACCGCTAGTTTGGGGATGGTATGGAGAAGCAACTTTATGTGTAACTCCATTCTTTCTAAGAAGATTCTCGAAAAC